ATTTGTCCACTCTATATGTACTCTAAATCATACACCACCACACCAGCTAATACTCCTTTATTATGATATTCCAGTGTATTTTCCCAGTTATAGTGGTTAGACTTTATTTCAACTCCAAGAACGCACTTGTCGAACACATTATGAATTGATCTATGACTTGCAGGTGTCACCTCTGGGAAGAGTCAGAGTAGAAAGCAGGTTGTTGAAGCAGCTCTCTGCAAACCTAGCTGTGCTTATTACTGCTCCTTCTAATCCATGGATCAGTTCTGAAACTGTGCCATCTCGGGTCACCAGTCTCCCGTTATGACAAAGCCCTACTGAACACTGTAACAATCCAAGTAAACAAATGCACAGGAAGGGTGCCTCTTAAAGACTACAAAGCATAAACAGAATCTTGTACGCAATGAACAGACACTTAAGTCTCTGAACACTGGAACTAATGGAACCTGGTGCACAGATTTGTATAAAGTTGGTTGACATTTTAACTCAATTTATATTAAGATTCAACATGAGGAGAGTGTCATGAGAGAATTCACACAGAAGAGAGCTATTATGAATGTCACAGTTGAAGGACAAACATCCATTGACTTTCATGTCTGATAATCCATGGGGGACTGAAAGTATCTTAAGTCTGGTAAGATAAAAATTTCTTCAGAAGACTTCTCCACATCCCAGGCATCCAAAATGTTGCTCATCTGAGTAAATCTTCAAGGCACAACAAAATCAAGTTTATGCCACGGCCCTTATTACTTAACAGGTTCTTACCCCTCCCTGGCCATTTGACCTCCCGTGCATTCTTGTGAGAGTTGCACCACTGGGACTCTTACCTTTCCATCACAACTGGTTGAATTTGGGAGCCAATGGTTCAAAAAGCAAAGTAGGATTAAGCATCTCTTTTTTCTATAGAACACAAGCTGCAAATAAGGAACAGAAGGCATCCATCCATACATATCCCTACACATCCCTTAGAGAAATCAATGATTCAGCAGCTATTCTAGATTATCTCATCCTGTACTACTGCTGTACTGTTGTCCATCTGACTAAGCAGGGCAAAAGTATCCTTGCAGGCTGACCAACCTAGTAAGCAGAGCTTTAAACTAGAAACAACAGAGGAGTAAGATTCTTCAACAAACAAGGAAGCTGTGGATGGGGTAGGCAAGTCTGGATGATAGGAACAGAAAGGACACAGCAGTTGACAGAACAGAGCTGAAGTGGAATCTCTCCAAGCGTAGACACGTAAAGAAGGAAGTGCCTGCAGAACAGCCTCATGGAGAAAGCTCTCAAACCTCTACTGGGGAATCGGGATGCTTGGCGTGCCTGCCTGAACTACCTCTACACTGACACACACAACATGGGGAACAAACAGGAGGAATTAGAAGTCTGCGTGCAGTTTCAGGGCTATGACCTCATTGGGAATACAGAGACATGGTGGGATACCTCTCAGAACTGGAATGCTGCGATGGATGGATAAAGGCTTTTTAGGAAGGACAGGCTGGGAAGGCGATGAGGGGAGTTGCCCTTTATGTGAAAGGTCAGCTGGAATTCATAGAGCTCTGCCTTGGGATGGGGTCAGGAGCCAGTCAAGAGCTTACGGGTCAAGATTAGCAGGCAGACCAACATGGGTACTACTGTAGTGGGTATATGCTACAGACTTCCTGATCAGGAAGACGTAGATGATGCCTTCTTCAGACAACCGGAAGAAGCCTCATGTTTACAGGCCCTACTCCTTATGGTGCAAATTTTAACCACTGTGATATCTGCTGGAAGAACAATGCAGCAGGGCTCAAGCAATCTAGAAGAATTCTAGAGTGCCTTGATGATAACTTCTCAGGGTGATCAAGAAGGCAAAGAAAGAAAGGTGCTCTGCTTGACCCAATACTTAACAAACAAGGAAGAACTGGTTGTGCATGTGGAAGTTGCAGGCAACCTTGGCTGAAGTTCTGTTGGAGACAAGTCACTAGTGGTGTACCCCAGAGGTTGATACTGGGGCCAATGCTCTAAGATCTTCATTAATGACCTGGATGTTGGGAAAGCGTACACCCTTAGCAAGTTTACAGATGATACAAAACTGGGGGGAGCAGCTGAAAAAACAGATTGTTGGGGTACCCTTCAGCATGATCAGAACAGGCTGGTGAACTGAGCTGAAAGGAATCTCATGCAGTTCAACAGGAGGAAAAATGAAGTCCTGTGTCTAGGGAAGAATAACCCCTGGAAGAAGTACACACTGGGAGCTGAGTGGCTGGAAATCAGCTCTCCAGGAAAGGATCTTAGACTCCTCCTGGACTGAAATGTATGGACTTACTGGAGTAAGACCAGCACAGGGCCACAAAGATGATTAAGGGACTGGAGTATATATGAGAAGAGGCTCAGGAAGCTCCGATTTTTCAGTCTGGAAAAGAGAAGGCTCGGGGGAATCTTATCAATGAGTATAAATACCTGATGAGAGGGAATAAAGAAAAGGGAGCCAGACTTTTCTCAGCAGTGCACTCTGACAGGACAAGAGGCAACAGGCACAAAAAAAACCCCAGGAAATTCAAATGGAACACAAGAAAACACTTTTTAATGTGGGGTGGCCAAATACTGGCACTGGGTTGCTCAGAGAGGTTGTGAAGAATATCTATAGAGATACTCAAAACCCAGTCAGACACAGTGCTGGGTAACCCCTTCCAGCTGACCCTGTTTGAGCAAAGGGGGTGGACTAGATGATCTAAAGAGATCCCTTCCAACCTAAACAGTTCTGTACCTCACAAATTTGTGCTTGGTGAAAGCTATCAGAGATGCACATAGAGAAAGAAAGAGATGATGATCATCTTTTAAGTTTACTTCTCTGCTTCTTTAAGGCAACTTTTTGATAGAAATTATTATAGTCACTACCCTTATACTAATATTTCTATCATTCTTGGTTTGTGACCACTTAAAGGAACATAACTTTCATTCAGGCAAATTGCAACTGTACTGCTTCCTTTCCTCACTTCTGTCAATCACCCAACATTGCCATCTCCTCAGCTCTTGAATAGTTCAGCTGGAAGCATATCACAACGAGAAGTCTATACTCAATGCCCAGCAATTCACATCCCTGGCTGTAGAAGAAATCGACACAAAACAGGCTGCTGTGTGAAATTAACCTGGTTATATATATGTACTAAGTATACAAAAGAAAGGTGAGGCACAGGCCTGAGCACTGAAGCTCCATGACTTCTGCACTATTTAACTGCTAGCAGATCCCCCATCACATTTGTAGTCTGTGCCAATTAGCAGACAGCATGTGGTCACAGTTTGGGGGACAGTATTGGCCAAAATCATTCCCAACAGGCAACTTGGACACAGTTATGGTATCTTGGAGGAAGACAGCTTTGACACACAGAGGTGAGCTGGCATGTACCTCTTGGCTACAGCGTCAGAGTACAGGCTGTGGCCAGTCTGCTGCTGTACAGACAGAGGCTCTGAGTTTCACAGGCAGTGTACCCCATTCCGACGGTGAAGCAGTGGGAAGCCAGAACACATGCTTCGGTCACAAGATCAGAAGGGCTCGTGACTTCCAGCAGGAGGGTGATACCAAGAACACACATACAAACTATGGCTACATTACTCCTCCTCTGGTTTTGGTTCTGAATGCTGTGCCAGGTCTCTGTTTCAGCAACAGCAAAAGGGAGTAGGAGAAGGTATGTTGACTGGGACCTTTGCAGAGGAGTGCCAAATATTTCAAACTTGTTTTCTCCTTTTCAGGAAATACAATATAAAAGGTACAGATTATACACTGATATAAGATGTGAGCTGCCTTTTTGCTGCCTTCAGTTCATTTTTTAACCTGTGAAGATAGCAATATTTAATTCTGCCGCTTTGTTTGTAAGACTTTATTGAGATAATCTGTTTATTAATTGCATTTAGAAGTGTTATTAGGATAATTGGAACCCAACTGCCCTGGAAATCGGATTTTTGTCAGTTTTGGAGATGACTACTGATTAAGAGGCACACTATGAAAATGTACCACACTATTCTTTGAAAAGACCAAATATATTTTCTTCTTTTCTCTCACTGCTCCCTAATGTGGTGTTTTTCAGCTTGTATTTTCATTATTTTATAAAACAAGAATGAAGACACTTTGGGATTGGACAAGATCAAGTTATAATTATGAACTTTCAAAACACACTAAATACTGAAAAAGCACATCATTTGGGCCAACTTTGGAAGAGACTAGAATTACTGTTTTTTCACTTTTTTTAATGAACCAGACTATTAGATAAAGTATGAAATAACAGATGTTAAATTCTACCACTGTATACACTATGCAATGAAGCCATTTCTTAACTAATCAAACTCAACCTGGATAAAGTCTATTTAAGATACTCTTCTTTCCTACAGAATTGATAATCATTCAGGCTTAGAAGGAAAAAAAAAATCTCATTTCATTCAGGGAATGGTGTTGAGATGTTACTGCTATGAGAAATTTCTTTGTGCAGTCTTCCCTTATTAGAGCAACTTAGTGCTTCTTTTTGGGTAGGGCTGGACTGTTTTCAAGAAAGTACATTTTTCAATTTCTCACATTCCTATTGACTCATTTAAGGCTTCAGCACACTCTGGATTGTGAATTCTCTACAGTATTTATTCAGTACCTCTAAAGCAAGTGTTAATCTTCAGGACAGAGTCCTAAGACAGCTAAAGTTAAAAAACAAAGAAACAACTATTACAGCCACATTAACTCTGTCTAGAAATTAAGACCATCATCAGTAAAGTAACAGTTAAATGCTGAAGTGTAACACTAAAGAAGTCAACTTTAAAGCTGTGAAAGGTATCTCACCATAATAAACAGGCAAGAAGTTAATCATTTGTGGTTTCAATAATATTTATCTGAAGGAAACTAACATAGAAGTTACCATCAACATTGCAATAATTAAAAGACCTGATGCATCTTAGGTAAGAAACAAACCACCAATTTTTCAATATAGTAGATCAGGACACAGCTGGACCTAGGTCTAATGTAACTTTTGGGTTATTAGGTCTTATGCAACTTTCTGGTTATATCTTGCTATCTCATCCTGACATTCTTCCCACTGAAAAAGACATGATGAAGAATTTTCTAATGCAAACTTTGCCACAGGTATAAAAGAAGAGAAAGTTGTTTAGGGAATGTGCATGCACACACTCACTCTTTCAATGTACCCTGCTACTTTCACCCCTTCCTCTACAAATTTACATCTAATCTACAGATAGAGGAGACTTTCTCCTCTTCTAGTTTTTGGCTATTATAGTTACTAACATGAAAGAGAGATGCTTTTGCACCTCCCATCTCCAAGAAATTCTTTCTGCTTTTTCAGAAGTAGGAAGTGTTAATAACAGCATTTATTTTTAGTTCTCAGAACTCATTTTCTTTGCTTTTAAATCACCAAAATATACACAGGTGTAAATAAGTAGTTGGACTAATTTTTTTAAAAAATCAAATTATCCCACTTTATTTTACTTATGAAATATGGATACTTATCTTCCAGTAAAAAGATAAGTTTCTCTATCTTGGGAATAGACTATTGATCTATAACCATAAGGAACTGCATTTCACTGACATCCCTGTGATTTTCCTACAGACAACAACTTGGCATTTTGGCAGTCAGTACTGAGGTTGCAACACCAAATTTCATGACTTCTTCACAGCCGTTTGTTAGCAAGAGGGCCAAATAAGCCGCCTTTATCATTGCAACCATCATATCTAAGAAACAGTATATCTTGACTATTAGAATGTGTTCTTTTTAAAGAAAATCGTTTAAAGAATTAAGAAATTTTATTTCCTCCTCTCAAAGGAAAAGAATGCACTGCAGCAATCAAAATTAAAAAAAAAAAAAATCAAGACAGGTGGCCCTAAGTTAGTTAACACGAGATTTTGAAATAGGTTTTTTAGGTAATAAGTCACAGATGAGAATCAGTTCTTTGCATTTTTATGCAGTGGTATGTTAACCTTGGGACAGAAGGTATTTTTAAAAAGAGAAGTTCACAATTACATAATTGAAATATTTTATAAACAATATATGCTACAGAGCAGCTCTAAGTACAGTCTGTTGAAGCCTGTAGTTCTATAATTAGGGTTTTGCCACAAACTTCATAAGAATTAGAATCTCATCCATTAACTTTTGCTTAGCAGTTGCTTTTTCTGCCTCACAAAGAAATGTGTGGTATAAGTAATGGATACCATGTAAAATATTACTGCTTGTTACCTTTCGAAAAGGCCTTATTGCCTTTTCTGCTTGATGCCCTCTGAATAAGTCTAAAGAAGTTTGAGACTTAAAAGATTTAAAGCATAAGAAGAAAGTTTTCTAAAGAACTATTGTATTTGTAGACAACCTGGATTTAAAAAGCAAGTAGGGAAAAAAAAAGTGCCTGAAAAATCTAGTTATTTATCTATATCAAGTACCATCCAGGACACTGGAAAAAACACTAGCTATCCTACTTTCCTTTATATTTTTTCAAAACTAGATGAGATATTCTGAACGCTAGAATGGATTTTTGAACGAACAGATCATTGTAAACAGATCAAGTAAAAAGGCTCAGATTAAACATTCAATAGTTTTGAAGGAGAAAAATGGCAAGTAGTATCTTAAATGTCACCAAAGGTATGATGTCTACACATAAGTAAAGTCTGTTCTAAAAGATAGAAGGATAATGTAATACATTTTAAAAGTACAGATACTTTTGCAAGACAGTTGATTCTCTTAACACTTCACAACAAATGGTGCAGTTTGATACTTACATCGACTCTTGTACTGAACACTGCATTCTATAGACAGCATAACAAGAACCATATTTTTGTATCTCACGGTTTTGTTAAGAATGTGCTTCTGTTACACATAATTCTCTAAGCATCACTTAATCCTAACCCATCTGAACATACCTTTAGATATTACTGAGCAGTCTGTACAAATTGGCAGTTAAATGCAAGTCTTAAGTCAAGAAAAAGAGTTGCCATAAACCCTTATTCTAGAGATACTTGTTCTCTTGTCTAAAACAGCTTTAGTAATGAAAATTGACATTCATTTCTCCTAACTTCACAAGTAACCTCTTCTACACTTGCTACCCCAGAAAATTACAAATTGAATTGAAATGACACCTCTCGTGGTCTAGATTGATAGAGCCAAGAATTAAGCTTACAAATATTACTGCTTGCTCAACTTATTGCCTCTGGCCACCAAAGGCTGAAGGATCAGAGATTCAGGGTGTTTACACTTGCATGGAAGATGAACTCTAGGAAATATCCTAGATGTTTATTTTTAGGTGTGTGCTTACTAACATGGAGGTAGAAAGACATGGGTAAAGATCAGAGTGTTTGTACTGAAAATGCATTTGGCAACTTAGGGAGACAGATATGGAGAGTTCCTAAGTTTATAAAATAATGAATCTGTGCAAGCAAATGGTTACAGCTAGATCTTTCTTTTCGTAGGCAAAAGGAGAGTTTGGAGGAATGGAACAACTCCCACTCAACAACAAACAAATAGGAAGGCAAGTCAAAGGCTGGTTCAGAGAAAAAGCCTTTTTTACAGAAGCATTTCAAAGTCTGGAAAAGGTTAAACTGTGGGTTTACCTTCTATCAGGTACTACAAAATAGAAGCTTTATTATCTCATCCATTGTCTTTCAAGGCTCGATGCTAGTATTCTCTTCAAGGTTGTCCAGTGTATCTATAAGTGGGAGGGTGAATATGGAAGGAGAGCCATGCTTTTTATGTATTCTATCTCTAGCTGGAAAGTGTCAACTTGAGTGACAATGCAATTTATCATTTACGAAAATGCTTCACTGTATTAAACAGTTTTATCTACACAGTTTTATGTAATGAAGTTGCATGGAAAGCACCTCTAATACTTTTGGTTAGGCCTACCATTTACTTCATTCGAGAGGTCATTAAACAACTACACAGTTGTTCAAGACAAGTTTAGAAGTAATTATGAAATAACCTTTATAAAAGAAGAGTGACATGCCCACAAAACAAAATTAATAGTCTCCCAGAACAAAGTAGAAAACTATTAACTATCATCACTAACACTTAAATCACCAAAATTCAAAATACTGTGCTAAGACTTGTTGATGAACTAAGGGAAGACAACACAATCATGTAGTGTAATAAAGGCAGGGAGAAACAGACCTATACACCCCGTATCGCAGAGCTGCTATCAGTTCTAATCACGCTTACAAGCCTTGAATATTCTGTTTGTGGGCAAGAGAACAAGTTTCTTGAGATCCAATATTTAACAAGGAGCTACTGCAGTATTTATTCTGTTTCTGAAGTTTTTGAAGACAGAAGTAGCAAAGAATCAAAAAAAGCTAAGTTGTGTTCTATGCAAAACACATATTGAGGAAGAGATTTCAATAATCCAATACTCTGGAACTACAAAACCACTGATCAGTAAAATAACTAACTATGCTAACCATCAACAATAGCCATATGGAGCAGAGTACAACACTTTCAGCCTATACCATTGAGGCTAAAAAACCAAATACATAAAAGCCAAAGGCTAATCCAACTAGAAGGCAAGGAAGGAGCATTTCATGAACGTGTATTTGAAATATGAGTAGATACTTCTCCTGTAATAATAATTATGCTACAAAGCAAAGTTGTATTACTAAAATATGGAGAAAAAATAATGTTACCTATAAACTAGGTACTTTTTTCAAAAAAGGGAGATCAGTTCTTGAAGGGAGACACATGAATTTTTTAAATGTACAAAACATTAAAAATGGAAAAGTACTAGTGGTGCAGAAAGAAATGGAACATGCACTGGTAAGGCTACTTATATTATCTTAATTTTTCCTTGTGACCTTTTAAACAAACTACGGAAGAATGGAGTTTTCCATCTACTGATATGTAACAGAAAATGGAACGCTAGCAGAAGCAGTGCATATTTTCTCATAATCTCTGCATTAGAAAAAAAAAGAGAGGAGGTTAAGCAATACACATATTAATATATATATATTTAAACATAAATGGAGTATTTCAAGTCTTACATGGTCTTAAAATGAAGCAAAACTTACAAAGCAAGAAAACACATACCTGCTATACCCTGAGACTCTGTCTGTAGATCACAGTACCACAGTCTGTTTACTGGATCACACCCTTCTCTGATAGACAACAAGACATATCGACCATCATCTGATACCTGTAAGAAGTTACAGAAAAATCAAAGATAATTCATCCTCTGAAAAAAAAATCCAACTTGAAAAGTCAGTCCCTAAACCCCAAGCAAAAAACAAACTGATGCTAGTTAGTTGAGTGAACAGACATGTATGGAATATGAGAACTCACCAAGAACCCACACTCATTGCTTACATCAACATATAACGTAAGTATAGTCTGCTGACATTTCAGGTCAAAACCGAACAGCATTATCTATTTCCACCATGAATTAAAAAAAGAAAGTTTATGATTATTAAAAGTATTCCATCTAAAAAGGTGTTTAAATGAGTCAGGGTGGGTATCTGCTCCACCATGGACATCCATAGGCTGCATGGTCTTCTCCACAGGCTGCAGGGGAATCTCTGCTCCGACACCTGCAGCACCTCCTCCCTCTCCTTCACTGACCTTGGTATCTGCAGGGCTGTTTCTCTCACTCTTCTCTCATGGCTGTCGTGCAATGTTTTTTGTCCTTTCTTAAATATGTTATCACAGAGGTGCTACCAGCATCACTGATGGGCTCAGCTTTGGGCAGTGGTGGGTCTGACATTGGCACGTCCAACATGGGGGCAGCCCTGGCCTCTTGTCACAGAAGCCACCCCTGCAGCCCCCCCCAGGTACCAAAACCTTACCACATAAACCCAATACAACTAATGTACAGCACTAACCTGACATTTCAGAACTAAGAATGGACTCAGTATAAACAGTCTAAAACTACAATCTGCAGGCAGGAAGAAAAACCAAAAGCCAAAAAACAAAATAACAAAAAAACCCACCAAAAATTAGCTATATTAAAAATATCTCAAAGTCAATGCCTTCAGCATGGAGAAGTTTAATTGATTCCACTCTATTGAACATAAAGCACTGATTAGTCCTGTGATCAAGTGGATTGCCAGGCTCCTACTGAATTACAGTACTCAAAAAGAAAAGAATCCTCCTGCATCAGTTAAAACATAGCTTTATGTAGCTCAATAGAAATTTCTCAAACTGAGGCAGCCACATCTGGTGATGTAGGTGTCCAGTTCCTCTCTAGTCACTGACTATAATACCAGCATTCAAATCTGCTGTTAAATTGTGCAAGAGTATTTGCTCACTTAGCCATCTTTGTAAAGACAGAACAGAGTGACCAGTTGTTCAAAAAAACCTTCAGAGTTTCTTGTGAAGATGACATCAAAACTTCTGAACTTCCAAACTCCTATATCAAGGTATCAATTCCATGCAAAAGGAAATTTACCTCCCCTCCCCCAAACCCTATGGAAATAAATGAAGCCCAGCAGTGACATGAGAAGGACCAGTGACATGTATCTCACTGAAAATCAGTAATTTGGGATATACATATGTATCCAGGTATTTTAAGAGATGCAGAGAGATATCAGGACTGCACTTGCTCATCAAAGGAAAAACCGTATTGCTGAAACTGCTAATACGTAAGTGAAAGAGGCGTTTATCTCAATCAAGTCTTTATTTTGATCCCTGTGTAAGCACTCTTTTTTTTTTTTTTTTTACTGTGTGATGTCACCTAAACTGAACATACAGAAAAGAGTTTGTCACTAACTTCTTAAAATGGGCCCTCAGTGCACCTTACAGGTCTACACGAGCCGACAGCTGCCTCCTCTACACAAGGATGTCTCCTCACCACACTTCCTCTCTCTAGCAACTCCAACACGGTCAGCGTTTGAGCCTGTGAATGTCCTAGATATGCTGAAATCCAGGTTCATCAAATTACTATAGATTCACTCTCTTGGTGAATTGAGCCCTGTAAGATCATTTTGCTGACAGATGCGCACCTCTGCACATGCCATCACAGTACTATGTATAGAACAGTAAAGTTTAATCAGAACAAAACCTGTATTTGAATGGGAAACCCAAAATTTAGTTGCTCACGGGACAGTGAAAACCATCAAGTCAGCACTTGGCGTATGGCAAACATGCTTCCTCTGCACAACTGCTCTGTCAATCTATTTTTAAAAGCAAAAGCTGAATATTCACTGTTATTTACAGTACAACTTACAACAGAAAAAAATTACCCAAGTAGTAGAGGTTAGCTTTGGATTTCTGGCTGCCTTAAGGTATGTGCCAGAAGTCCAGCTCCGAGATGGGAAAAGGCTGGCAGCTTAGTCTGAATGACAGTCACTTAATTCACAGCAGATTTTCCCCCAAGTTCTCAAGTGAATGGAATTAATAAGGTACGTTTTCTCTCACAAAGCAGTATAAAATTTCTTAGAAACCATCCAACTTGGTAATTTCAAGGGTACTTTTGCTTATTGTGGCAAATCAAGTGACTCTTAAGGAGTTTTCATTTTTGCCATTTTCATTAGGTTTACACACACAAAAATCTAATGCTGCTGTTAAATAAACATTATAAGCTACCACCATGTTATACAGTTTCTGATGAAGCTTCTTGGTTTGCTTTTGCACATGCATGTACACTCACGATAAAATTTCTAAAATGGTGTCTACTGGTACAGAAAGTCATCAATGGATCCTCCTTTCTACTCAGGCTTTGCAAACATACTCTCGTTTCCTGGCAAAGCTTTTGAAAGTGCAAGTCCATCAAGGAAAGGCAGGAAGTCATCAACTTAAAGTTTCCCTCTCCTGATTGAGCTGTTCTGAGCATATTCCAAAATTACCAGATTTAAAAGTGTTATTAACAGTTGATACAAAAGGCTGTTTCCTGTCCACATTCTTATATGACAACATCTAATGGAAATTTAAACCCCTAGTCACAAAATATGAATCTGAGTTCTGGAAACTTTCCATTTGGCCCTAAACACATCTTCAAAAAAAAAATCCCAAACTTATACATATATTGTAACTACTTCTTAGGTTTACTTTGGTTAATATTCATAACACTAGCTGGGCAAGATAACTGTAGAATTAGTTACGCAAAATAAATCTCAGAAGAATTAGGTCCTAACTATACTGCTATTCAAACAGACCCACAGTTTTGAAGACACAAGAAGGGAACTTAATAGAGTTTAGAGCCAAATCTCAGCATATAAAAGCTAACAAAAAAGCTCCAACAACCAAAGACTCCTCAAAACAAACAAACCAACCAACCCACCCCAAATGAGTGTTTCCAAGTTGTATTTTTTACAAGCATTTTGTCAACAACTAATTATACCACTAAAAAAAGTTCATACAGCTGAGAGCTCACAGGGCAAATAGAAAATAACACCTAAGATTCCTACTGGACCAAAAAACCCGTTACATGAAACAGCTAAGATAGCTTTAACAGGGCAGCCTGCAAAATCAAGACATTTTGCCTCCTCCTTTCAAGATGGGAGGTTATCCAGAAATGGAAACCAAGATTAGGTGATCTTTCTTGAAAGAAGCATCTCAGTGTTTTTAGACAAACATTAACTGCAGGTGTCAGTTTTAATTAGAATAGCGACTGCAATATGCTGCTTAAAAAACTGTTCATACTTGTAAAAGCACCAAGTTTCCTTCTCTTCCTCACCAACTCATAAAACATATTAAATAATTGCAAGTGATATATATAAATATAAATTTCAGTTAAACTCGAGTATGACACACAAAATTCTTTCAGTCATAGTCAGAACCCACATAAATTTGTTCTTTGCTGCTGTGAGTTAATGGTTAACAGAAGACTGCTCACTTTACCCAAGAAATAAAACTTATTTGCAAATTTATGATGTTGTTGTTGCAAGGGCAATTCAGAACCTCTGATGACAGCAAATCTGAGTACACCTAATGAGTTTTTCCTTCCACAGTCCCAGCTGGACTACTGAAGACTTGATAGCAGTTTATGTTTAATTTGAAGCAGGAATTCCCAAAGCATATTGCTGGTGGGATGCCAGTTAGGTCTGTCTCTATCACTAAAGCTATTCCTACATCAGTGAGCTCTATAACCCAAAGGAATTTGACAGAAGCAGGACAAGACACTGTTGACTGCAGCATGCTGAAATGTTTAGTATTATACAGCAGATTTAGACATCCACATTGAAAAGTTACAGTCTGATGAGCAAATACTGGCAGCAGTACCAGCTTCTGTGGTCTCTACCTCTAGCTCTTCCTACTGCTACAGTTGCTTGTATCCATGCAAGTTCATTCCCCTAGTTGTGTCACTACAAGCATCTACCATTTGTGAGGTAAACTAGACTGGAGAGCTGATCCAGCTGAAAAAATAGCATGTTAAACAAAACAACAAAAATTTTAAAAAGGTAAAGAAAAAAGAAGAATCCAGAAAACAACAAAAAAAACCCAAAACAAAACGAAGAAACCAGGAAGGGGAAAAAAACCCCCACACCAAAAAACCACAATAAAAAAGAAAGAGAACAAAAGAAAAAGTCCCTCTGCCAGATTAGTATCTCAGTTCACTGTGCAGTTGCACAAATGGCTGAGCTAATACACTGCACCAAGCAGCTGGCAACATGAATAATAGGGGCAGAGATTGCTTAAGGCAGCTCAGATGGCAGTACTGACGAATGTGTAATCATGGCCTGAATGCCACTGACTCTTCTATACCATGAAGAGAAGAGTCCGTGTTTCACAATGGCAAAAGGGAATAGGATTTCCCAACTATCATTTGGGTTATTCTTATGCTGTTACATCATCCTCATGAACTGAACTGCAATCTTGCTCTTGGCCCACAAACTTATGAACGGAAATTTCATACCAGCATTTCACTCAAATCTTAGAATGCATTCATGGTTCAGCATAAGGGAGACAGCTGTAATGTCAGAACTGACAGCTTGGATCAGAAGTAAATTCTCCCGGTTTCCCACATCCAAGCTGAAAAGGAAACCCATCTCAAGAATTTCTGAGAGAGATCTGGAATGCTAGTCAGTGCATATTTCTCTCATTAAAATAATTTCTGTCATTTCAAACACCCCCCACTGGTAAAAGGTAAGGAGGTTATAAAGCAACTGAACATCTTAAAATGACATTTAGGTCCTGTCAAAATAGGACAGGAGAAATCCTATAGCCTTTCAAATAGAGCTTTTAAAAACCTTCAGCGTAACA